GNNTTTNAANNNAAAGTCGTTTTATTATTTTTTGTTTTATTTTTGATGTACTTGATTTTACTAATAGAATTAATCAAACCAAAAAATATTTATAAAAACTAAATATGAAGGTTAAAACCGGATTATCATTAAAATAAGTACTAATGAGACAAAATTGAGTTGAAAAAATACTAATGGGACATTTCCTATTTGATTTCGACCCAATTAACCAAATTTCTCTTTTTTAAATTAGTCTTTTATATTTTCTAGCTACATGCGTTAGCATGTGAATTTCATTAGGACTCCTACAAATATTTTGTCTTATTAACAAACAAATTTCAAATAATGAATGTTGAGATGAGATCTATTGTATTTGAAATCTATAGGTTATTTTTGCTATCTAAAACATTTGCGGATAACCAAATATAACAGTGAGATTATTCGCCATTTGAGAAAATTTGTTACATGATTTTGACCAATATGGTGTATTCTCAATAATCCGGAACCATTTATCCACAACCATTAGTTTCCAACTTAACATTTTATAGGTAGTTTCTATTTGGATTTTGTATGTTTATAATGCAGTCTCACCGTTTTACGTGAATTACAGTCTAATTCTTGATGCATTATTTTGTTATCTTTTTAGTAATACATCTCTTAAACTAACATTAAAAAGATAGTTTACAACATTCATGAACTGAAGCATAGACAAATTTCATTATTGCAAGGGTTTGTTTTATGAAAATACTAGAGTTGGACTCGCGCATTACGCGAGTTTAGTTTCTTTTGATTTTTTTGTGCTATTTTCTTATATTGGTAATTATTTATGTTAGTATATAGATATCTTTTTTACATTCATTAACACATTCTAATATTTATTTAAAATCTTATATCATATGGTTAATATAAGATTTTAAATAAATATATTTTAGGTTTTGAGAACTTCTTATTATATTTTTTTATTACAATATTGCTCCATCCAAATCTTCAAACATATTTTAACTATAATCGTGCAACGCATAGATCAATATATTTGCTTTTGTCATTTTTTTCGTAAGACACTTATATATAGAAAATTAATTTATACATAATTTTTTTAACGTTTTATTAAACACTTAAAAATTATATTTTCTAAATTTTTTGGGTTAAAAACATTGGTTCAAATATTAAATTACTAAATATGTATTTTTCTTGGATTATGGTGCCACATACATTTTTACATAAAGATCATATATCATTACCTATGTATTTTGTTGTACAATTTATGAATAATATAAAATTTAAGATTTTTTATAGAGACAATTGCAAAAATGCCACTTTTGGTGTGCCAC